TTGTCAGCTTCTTCACGTTTGGCGAGCGGCAGTCTACTCGGATTTTGTTTGATTGGTCGTGCATCTCCGGTGTCAATTTTATGTTGTACTAAATTGGTACGACCTCTATGTCCTGCTTCTCCTTTATCAAACACATCTTGATACTTGATTATCAGGTTTCTCAATTTTCTACTATCTTCGGGAAATAATCCCTTAACGTTTACTAACTCCTTAACCATTTTGTCCGGAATTTTTGAAATCGAAACTTTGGAGGCTTCCACGCTTCGAATGACTGAGGAGGCCGAACAACAGTACCCTAACAGGGTTCCCTTCTTCAAGGATACAGAATGATAATTCGTGTTCATTACTCTTACCGGTACAGACTTCTTCGCTCGTAGCAGGGGTTTTCCAACAGCGACCCCTCGTCCTATTTCGCTGTCATGGTTCCTTGGCTCCAACAGAATAATACTCCCATTATTCGTTTTACCTTCCAGGCGACCATCCAAAAATATCTCACAGCGCTCAGGGATCGAAACATCTTCTGCTACTACCACGCGAAGCGTCTCCTCACATTTTCGATGTAGAACCACTTCTTCTTCATTTATTTTCAAAATTTCTTGTTTGAGGTTTAGTTCAAAACCTCTAGTGGTCACGATGTCCATTCCGAGAATAAGTTCATCTTCGATGTCTGCTACTAACACTCGATGATTAAAACAGGTGCTTCCGATAACAAAATTAAGATCTACCTCTCCATGGATGAGAGCGCAGCTTCCTGTAGCTGTACGTAGTCGCCATTGTGTTGTTTTAATCCTTTTTGATGTTTTAAGGATATCCGGCCTGATGATCGTTTTGGTCGCACCCGTATCCAACAGCATGGTCCGTAACTCTCCATCCACGAAACTAGCCACAAAAATGCTGTTGAACTTGTGTTGTAGCGATGCGACTTGAACAGTTTTCGTTGGAACCTGTTGGGTACTGCTCCATATGTGTCCCTTTGATTCGACACTTGGCGAAACCGAGTCCACGTCTTTTTCTTGACAGTGACTTCTTACGTGTCCTGCCTGGCCGCAATTCCAGCAACAAGTCGGTCCTTTCTTGCCCATGTACTCCTCCATGACTTTCCGTACAATGCTTTCCACGGATTTGTCGGAACATTGGTTGACCGCCCGTACTCTCACTAGAGACCGAGAACTGTTTCGCGGCCTCAAATTCTAGGGCACGTGCTAAAGCATCCACCAAGCGCGTTGGGTGGGCTAGAAGAAGCGCTTGCCTTGTCTCCCTGTCACGTAAGCCATCGGAGAATGTCTGTACTGCCAACCGCTCCATAACATTCTCGGGCGTAGCAGGATACGCAAGGCGAACCAGGCGGGCTACGTCGGCTTCAAACTCCTGCAGAGACTCATTTGACTTTTGAATGCGATTTTTTAGCTGTGAATGATAGACATGTTCCAAATGAGCTTGGCCGTACCTCATTTCTAAATGTCGTACCAATTGCTGATAATCTCCCTGTTCCGATGGTGACAGTGTCTGCAGGATATCAGTCGCATTCGCAGTGCGACAGTCAAAGCGGTAGCCTTTTTCAGCGATTGTCCATCCGTTCGCTCTGGCAGCGGCCGCAAACTGGCAAAAATAATTGGCCCAAGCGGTTTTTCCGTCAAACTGTGGAGGCTTAATAACTGACTTTGAGATATACTTATTTTCGACTAGTTTCGGTGCCTCCGATGTTTCTTGACATTTGGTGAATTGGCCATTTCTATTTTTTGTTTTAAATTTCGATTTTTATTTACATCGTCCTCAATTTGTGTTATTTTGTCTTGTAGCTCCGTAGAATTCTCTATAATCTTTTCTTCTAATTCCCTGGAATTTTCTGTTATCTTTTCTTCTAAATTAAGTATTTTATTATTAAAGCTGGCCTGTATGTCTTTAGAATTTTCCATGATCTTATCTTCTAAAGAATTAATTAAATCCTGGGAATTTTTTTATAATTTTATCACTGATTTTATCTTCTAAAAATATTCATTTTATCATTTAAAGTTTCTTGCAAATCCTGGGAATTTTCCATAATCTTATCACTGATTTTATTATTCAAATTGTCTTCTAATTTTTGTAAGGACGAGTCAAGGTCACCTTCCAGCTCAAAGCAGAAGGTGTCAGGATCCTCACCTTCTTCAATCAAAACGTCTCTCAGTCTGGCTTGCAGAATGCTTTTCTTTCCATCTGTCTCGCATTCCCTCTCTTCCAGTATGCATTTTAATTCGGACACTTTCAAGTCTTTCAACAATTTCTTCGGAGCCATTGTTAGTCTTTTTATTTTTCTAGTCTATCACACACGCCACACTTGACACCAATTGTTACGTTTTTCGTCGGTTCCGTGTGGATAGAAAGTCACAATTTATTTAAACACTATTTATTTAACACTAATTAACAAAAACAATAACGATAACGATAAAAGACTTATAGAACTATTTACAAACGATTTATAACTAAGAATTTATTTTGAATTTTAGCGCGTCAACTGCACTGGTATATTTATAACTGCCCTCTCTAGGTCATCACTGCCGCCGGCTTTTATACCGACAGGTAAAAGAAATCTAGAATAGTCCAAAGATCGTTAGGCGCATAGAGAAGGTTTTCGAATGTTCTCGTATGTACTAGTCCATTCTAGTGGGTCTCGATTCTTCTCGAACGAATGAATCATTGCGGTGTCTATGCGATGTTAAGGTCATCCGAGGGCGGGCCATATTGTGAGGTTAGGTCAAGTCCACACCGGCTCGCAACACTATATTTATTCATTAGTGCTTATTTTTAGGGTTGGTATATTTCGATTCTCATGAGTTTTTTTTCGGGAAAATATGTTTTTGAAAAGTTTATATTTTTCAAAAATTTGATAGGTTCTTTTTAATTTTTAGTTAAAAAAACATTATATCTTGGTAATATAGCAACATAGATAGTAGACTAAATTTAGAGGAAACAGAAAAATATCCAGTAGTTCTCATTATTTAAGCAAAAAATATTCTTTTATATAAATTTAAAAAGAAAAATAGCAACTGAATCAGAATGACGCAAGTAGGGTATTAATTTTCGTTTTGGAACAATTTGGAACTGGAACAGGTTTCTTGGAACAGGTATCTTTTGCAACTGGAACAGCTTGTACCTGTTATTAAAAAATCGCTGTTCCGGCCATAACTATTCGGTACCAGATGGTAACATTAGTTTATTTTTGAGTATTCGCGTTTCACCTACCTGTGTTCTCGTACACACACCGGTAGACAAAGTAGGGTTGCCAGATTGTTATAGCTAAATTCCGTGATGAAAAAAAACAGCGATGCTCTAAAAATTTCTATTCCACATTTGTGTGAATAGTGTGTGGAAACAAAATTGAAACAAATCTTAGTCAAAACATTTTTTTGCTTGTTGACGTCTAACAACCCTATGTACCAGAGTCTTGCTTATTTTAACGTATATAACTCAGAATCCGACTTGCTACATAACATAAGATAAGCACAGCTTTGTAGAGCTGTGTAGTTCCTGACGAATACCGGGTGCGTCTCAAAAGTGGCTCACCCCTATAACTTTTTTATTTTTTTCATATAAAAAAACGAGATTTGGTATATTAGTCTATGACATAAATTAGGATCGATTGACGTATTCAATTATTTTCGGTCAGTCCCTGATTCCCGGAAATGAATAGTTTGGTTTTTAAATAACACTTTCGGTTTTTTGTTACTTTATTCAATTTCTCTGAATAGAATGACATATCATATGACAACTTTTGACATTTTCGCTTACAACAAAATTGAATTTTAAATTTCAATCTAGAGTGCCATGGCTGTTTTAAAAGCGCTAATCAAGGAGCCTTGGAAAAATAGATTTGATCGTCTAGTGTTTTTAGTGTCTTGTCCTGGCGGGTTAAAAGATGCCCAAATCGTATTTTTAATCATATCTCAATTTTTTCAAATGGAACGAGGGTGGCTTATTAGCATATTTGGAAAAAGCATTTTTTAACGAATAATTTGGTACCAAACGCTTGGTATTTGGAGTCAAATTGTCGTTATGAATCGCGTGTTGCAATTTGAAATAAACTACATTCGAAAATGTCAAAAGTTGATATATGATATGCCATTCTATTAGGAGTGTCATTTTCTATCGAATAAAGTAAAAAAAATACCGAGGGTGCAATTTAAAAATCAAAGATTGAAGTCATTTCCGGTGAAACAGGAAGTGACCGAAAATAATTGAATACTTCAATCAATCCTAATTTATGTCATATTCCTACATTCCATTACGTCTACTCAACTAATGCCGCAACCGCACATGCGGCATTTGGCGATCTCCGAGCGCTTTCGTCAACTACCGAGCGCTCATGATTGGACTTCGCCTTTCCATCCACACATGCGGACTCTGATAGCAACAACATAGAAAACGAGCGCTCGTTCTCGTCGCCGAACTCCGACTCCCCCATCCACATACATAGGAAATCGGCGATGCCCCGATCGGAGATCGCCAAATGCTGCATGTGCGGTTGCGGCATAAGAGGTAGACCAAGTCAAAACCTAGTGGGCCACGACCTCCCCGAAGCTTCACATATGGCGCAGTGTCGAACAACTTGATCCGAGGAAGTGAGGGGAATCAACACATGATGTCACCATACTCACACGTAGAGTGAAGGACTGAAGAGAGAGAGAGAGAGAGAGAGAGAGAGAGAGAGAGAGAAGGGGGGGCTAACATTCCAAAGCTCGATTTTTTATATGAAAAAATAAAAAAGTTATAGGGGTGAGCCATTTTTGAGACCCACCCGATAGGCTGTGATCATAATAAAACAATAAAATACGTTAACTAAGTACCGTATGATCGAAAAAAAACGGCATCCAGTTGGCTTGGAAATGACGATTGATGCCATTTCCCGTATAATTTTACATATAAAATGACAGCGATCTTCGTTTCATAGCCATCAGTGACGCCGTTTTTATTCGATCATACGGTATTATATAGGTAATTACAATTATATGATTATATTTAAGGGCTCTGTCTGGAAGATACGGAGTGTTCTCTTTACGAACAGTGTTTGGATGAAACATGCCAGTGTAATGATGGGTATTTTAAAAGTAACGAAGATTCCAGCTGTTTACCAAGTAAAAATTTATACTTTTTTTTATGTAAGTTTGCCTCTAAATTTATTTATTTTTTTTTAGAAATAAATTCTTCTTGCGAGATTTATGACTGTTCGCATATTAAAAATGCTAAGTGTTCAACAGATGAGACCTGCCAGTGTGAAAACGATTCTTATGCTACAGATGGAGAGCAATGTTTGGAAAGTAAGTTTTAATAATATAAGAGAAATCTAATAATAAAGGAACATTGATCCTTCTGATCCTTCTGATCTATTTCTGATTCTGATTCAGCATTTAAGTCACTCAGCGAAGTAGAAGATCATTTTATTAAAAAATGTCTATACCTATGTGGCAGATTCATCTCTCCAAAATAATCCTGTGGGTATTTAGCCACTGCACTGCAAGAAAATCTACAAAATAAAATAGTTATTTTTTGTAAACACTTCTGCGTTAAACCCAAACGGACACTACTTGTTAGAAGTTATGTTTACAGTTATACAAATTTGCCTAACAAAGAAAAAAATGCTTAACATTTCGGAAAGTTTAACGTTTCGGAAAGTTCCGTCGTTTTCTTTTTATTATAATTTTGGCGTTATTAATATTTATTCTGTGCCCTGTGTCCCCATGAATGCTGACAAATCTTAATAATCTTAAATCTTAATAACATAAATTTTAATAACGCCAAAATTATAATGAAAGAAGCGATGGCCTCTAAAAGAAAAATAAAAGAGGCTTTTTTAATTCAATCTAATATAAATAAATGTATTGCTCATGCATCTGTAGATGTTAGTAATGTATGGCAATCGCTTCTTTGATTTTAAAGAACATAACATACGTAAAATTTAAAAATAATCATATAGAAAGTTTGGGGCTTTTTGGTTTTACCTTATTAAGTAATTGTTTTCAGGTAGTAATTGTTAATTTTGAAGTTTAACTTGATATAATGCCATTTTGAACGTCAAGGGTTTCTTGTAGACGTATCTGTTTTAAAAAAGTAAAGCGTTCTCGAATAGTTGAATTTAAATATTTTAAATAGTTTTTAGTATTGAAAATACTTCTGGCCGCGTTTATATGGGACCCATCTTTGAAAAAACGACATGCTAGAGGCGACATGGAGTTCAATAACCTGCCTAATCAACTTGTCAACACGTAAGTCGATAGCTGAATAGACCAAGGTCGTCCTAGGGCCGAAATGAGGTCTTATTAGTGTGAGCCAACTATTTTATGGATATGGATGATTAGTCTGGGAAAGCCGATATTATTATAAAAAAGAATATGCGTCAAGGCATGCATGGGTTGTTAGGTACAGTGGGACTATTTTAATCTAACTCTTTCCGTATGAAAAGCAGAGGGCCGTATGAAAAGCAGGAGTATACCATTATACGTGAAAGAGCGGAATAACATAAATAATAAATTTAGACTAATGCAATATTTTTTCTTGGCGCATAGGATAATGCGCACAATGGATGCCTTAAAGGGAATGATTAATTAAATCATTAAGTTCCAAAACATATAATAATTCGGGTCTCATCGGATCTGCTGATATATTCTGATAAAATTTAGGCTATTAGGACCTATATTTTTTATATGATACTAATTTTTTTAATTAACAACTTCGGACAAAGAAAAAGCTTGCATGGTTTCCACCGTCAACAGAAAAAACAAATGAATTCAAGGCGGTGCCAAATATTTATTGGGATAAGTTTTATCGTTTAAATATTGTTGTAAATAATAATTATCATTTAATTAGTGCTAACTTATTAAATTTTACAACATGGCGAAATTTCAACAAAATCAGCCAACAACAAAATCTTTGAGATATTAATAGGTCTATTAGAAAACACCTTGACACCCCTGTATCTTGAAAATTATACATTTCCGGGCACATGTTTATATGAACTTTTTACCTTAAAAACATTCAAAGGATCACCTCCTGAAGTTTGGCCAGATACTTAATTAACATCCTGTATTTAAAAATGGCTATCTAGTGATTTAGTAAGCTTTGTTTATTTTAATAGGCAAAAAATTCATTTCATAAAAAATAAACAAACACATAATACAAATACTATACACCAATTAATTAATTTTAATTGTATCTAAAGGCACTTTTAATAATTGAAAATGGACAGGAGCACTTAAAAATAACTTCATAGGGTATATCAAATATGCTAAAATAATAATTCCAATAAAAACACAAATGGCACATTAAAATCTGCATTATCTGAAATCAAACTATAGCTAAACGGCTAATAAAATAATAGAGACAAGACGCCGACATCTATAACAAGATGAGCAGTTTTAATAATTATTCCGAGTTATTATTACATACTTGTTTTACAATTATTGTAATACAATAGCATTCCTTCAAATAAATTTTGATTTAAGTATTGTTAATATAGTCATATTAATGATTATAGCCCGTACGATTTCTAAAATAAATAATCAAGAGTGTTTTTATCAAAATTATTGTATGATTAAGTAGAAATAGTTAATATTTAGTAACTTCGTAAGTGTTATATTTTAATATAATTATGAATTTAATAATTAAATAATTATCTTAAGTTTAAATTGTGGTAAACTTGTATGAGTTTCAATCATTTATATTTAAAATCTTAGGGAAGGCAATATAGATTTTAGGCAGGAGAACTCAAGAGAACGACTGTGCAATTAGTAATTAAGACTACAATTTTTTTTACTTGCCATTTTCTTCTCGTTCACGTTGCACGTTGATTCTTCGTTGTGTCACACACAATCTGAATTTCGGATATGATGCAGAACTGATAAATTGGACCAAATATATTAATTGCAGGTAATCAAAGACATGTTTTTGTTAACTTTGCAAACATTTAAGGCATGCAATAATTTTAAAAAATTTTGACATGAGATTACTTTATAATTCTTGGAAGTCTTGGATGATAAAGATTTGAATTATTATGGGTCTGTTTTGTTTAAGAAGCTAACAAATAATTTCAAAAACTCAACTATCAAAATATAATGGTAGCAAATTTTTAAAATCATGCATAGGTTTAATGTTCTATATTAATTGGGCATACTGAATGTAAACTAGGTATAGTTGCTGTAATCGATAATATATTTTGTTGCTTTTTCATATCACACAACATACGCTACTCATATTATGGGCACCTATGACTTAAATATCATAATGATGTTTAAAAATACATAGGTATACTTACTATGAGTAGTGGTTGTGACGGGATTTTACTAGGTATGATGAAAAGAAGCTGCAAACTAAATTATCGTCGAACTATATTTTAATTTGCCGCCGAAGTTTCCGGAATACAGTTCGGACCACCCTATATATATATATATATATATATATATATATATATATATATATATATATATATATATATATATATATATATATATATATATATATATATATAAATATTTATATATATATATGTATACCCACATACCTCACATACCTCACATTTCTATAGTGTCGTGACCGTGATCGTGACCATTCATGAATCCGTACACGTTCATCTCCATCATTAATATTTTTCTTACTAAATTCTTCACTTTTATAAAAAGCCATCACGATAAAAGTCAAATATCAAAATTATTTAACGTTGCGAACGGTTCATTTGTTCACTATACCTATCTGGAATATATTTGCGAATGGCAATTAGCGATACGTTAGACTGCCGGAGTGCTGACGTCACGAATGTCAAATTGCTTTCCAAACAAGCTTTAGTTCTTTTATATTTCTATTGAGCTCTTCCAAATGACGTCATAAGTTAATATAAAATGTAAAAAACAGGTGATTGCTGACCACCGCCGACTTTTGTGTCTGGTATTTTCAATACGCCTATGATGGTTGCGCATGTTGCAAAATCTGTGAATTTTTTTCTTTATTCTTTGTATTTTTTTGCTTCCGACGACGGAAAGAGATAAACTTTCCGAAACGTTAAGTATTTTTTTCTTTAAACATAACTTCTGAAAAGTAGTATCCGTTTGGGTTTAACGCAGAAGTGTTTACAAAAAATAACTATTTTATTTTGTAGATTTTCTTGCAGTACAGTGGCGAAATACCCACATAGGATTTTTTTGGAAAGATCATTTCATTATATGGGCTTCACTGATAATATATTACTTTAACTATAAAAACAAGCAAGTCTATAAAGACAACAGTAGTTATTTGTAGTATTTTTTAGAAAATTAATCTCATAGTTTATCTTATCGTATAGATATATTCAGATCTAATAAAGTCAAGCACCTTAAAAAATTATTAGTGTCAAGTACCTTATAATTTTGTTATTTGAGTAATCTTGTACTGTTTTAATCTTAAAGTATCTGATATTACTCCTATTTACATTTTTAGTCTGTATTTATTTGTCTAGTTTTTGGATGGAAAATATATTTTTTTAAGAAACTTTAGGTACTCCTTTTATATTTTATAGCAATAGTATTTAAATTGTATTAGTTATTATTGAATTTGTATGGGAACTGGTATATCAGTTCCCATACAAATTCAATATCCCATTTTGATTACCGCGTATTCGCTAGACAGCTAGTCAACTTGATATGATTTACATGAAACTCTGCATACTTACCTAGATATTCGCTTGTCTTAAGTTATATAACAATTCGGATTATAATCTCCATTGAGGTTTCGTTCATAAACTGTTCATAACTGTCAGGCCTGGTGATCTGACTGCCTGAAGTCGACAGTCTGTCTAATAAATCAGCTGTGAGAATGATTAATATTTGATTTGTTTATAGAGGCTACACAGCTCAACCAAGAATGTTTAATTGAGGCTCAATGTGAAAACATCAAGCATGCTGCTTGTCTGGAAAGTTCTGACAACAAGAGTTACTGTCAATGCGAAGATGAGTACTCCGACAAAAACGATACTTGCTATTTCGTTAGAAGTAAGTATTCGTATTCACTGATAATAAATACTTAACTAATTGTTAAAAAATCATGTTTTTGGATTAATAGTTTTGATGTCATCTTTCAAAAATATGAAAGTTACTCTTTTGGATTCTGTCTACCCCTTTTAATAAAAACAAAAAACATTAAGGAAGAAGTATAATGCTATCTATGCATTCATGCATGGTAAACGGAGGTGGGGACCTAGGGCGGGGATCCTTGATATTTCTGTTTGACGATTCATTTGACACATTTGAATTTGATTTGAAATTTTGTGGATTTGTCTGTCTTTACTGATCTTATTTTATGTTATTTATTATTTATTTTACAACTGGTAGTTGTTTAGAGATAGTAAATCTATGAAATGGTTGTGTAGCGTGCGGTAGATTCGGTCAAAAATCGAGGGAAATAATAATGGAATAACTTTTCGCTATTATAATATATAATATACATACATGTATATTATACGCTATATTTTTTTTTTGCGCGTTTGTTCTCTTACCTGGCATCCAAGATGTACAATTCCAACTTGAATCTATACTCCCTTGATTTAAAGACGTTCACTTTCAAAACAAAATTAAAAACTTTTATGTTGAGCGGATATAGAATTACACAATAATTTGATTTATTAATTTTTGTATCCTTTACGGAACAATTTTCATTTGTTACTGTTTTTGCTTTAACTTATTAAGTTGTTGATTTTTCTTTATCTAAAGTATATTGTTAATTTTCATTTTTCTTACTAATTTTTTTTCTTTGAATGTTATTTTTTAAGAATGTAATATATTATTTACTTTTTTTATATGCTTGGTTAACTTAACAGCTCTGCTGAATTTCGCCGAGTAAAAAAAAATAAAGACGTTATTTATGTATTAAACCGATTATTTATGAAATTCACTTAAAATTAACTAATTATATATTTTTTCTTGTATGTTTGCTTTTACTTACTACTTGTCAAAGATTAGATGTCAAAGAAGTTTAGCTGGTTTAGATACGTCAATTTAACATACCTGCTTCAGTAGCGTATCGGATGTTTGTGTTAATAAATAATTATTATAACTTATATATTTTTATTAGAATCATATATTTTTATAACAAATTTAATAACTATACCCACTATACCACAGTGGCGGCTCGTCAGGGTAGGCAAGGTAGGCGGCGCCTACCCTAAGATTTTGGCAGAGTTTAAGCGATTTATTACATTACATTATTTCCTATTAATGTTGCCAATACATAAAAATACTGTTAATAGACGGAAGTGTGTTTTAATAATCAATATTATTTTAATATTTGTGGTCCTGTTTATTAACATATTCACTACCGCTGGCGTACGCTGACCGCTAACTGCGCCGCTGAGATAGAAAACAAAATAATTTTGACCGTTGGAGCGCCTTTGTTCGGCGATTTCTACATCGCCTACTATCAGAGTCGATGCACGACGTACGGCAGTCTACTGTCTCTGTCTAACTCATCGTGCGGTAGCGACGCGACGAAAGTCGGGGTTGTATCATATTAAGGCAAGGCTTAGGCGAAATCTCCGGTCGCCTTCGCATGAAGTCGTGGAGGCTTGGTAGGCTTAGATGTTAAGGGGATATTCCGGATATTTCATAAGGATATATATATATATATATATATATATATATATATATATATAGATTTATTAAACCGCTTATACGAGCCCAAAAACTACGTTGCTTCATTGGGCTCAGACCCGATTTCGACATTTCAGGCCCGGGGTCGGGTCTGAGTACGATTTCAGTGGTTATCGTCTAGAACGGTTTCCCCACTTCCCCTGACCAAATTTCAGCTGGGCCTGAAAAAATGGTTTTACGTTTTTTATATACGATTGGGGTACACCGGTATTGTCACGGGCGGCGCCACCTTCGACATTAGTATAAGTGTATAAGCCGATTTACGTTGAATCGATGTATTCAGACCCAAGAACCGGCAACACGGTAAAGCAAACTATTAAAGGGAAACGAAGATATAGCCGTGTTATGTTTAGTAGAAAACAAAATGCTCATACTCTAATTAGAATATTAAGAAATTCAGACGAAAAAAATGAAAATAAGTATTCGTTTAAAATTATTCCTACTAGTCTCATTTAAAAATATCAATAATTTACGGTCTAATCTTTTTTTTGAATTGCTGTCATCACCGGATTTGTAGAAGTAACTAAACTTTTATTGTCGAAACCGGTCGTTCGGCTAATAAATATTAGAAACAAAATGATTTCGATCGGCGGGTCAAAAATTGTACGAGTACCTAAAAATTTATTTCGATGCTATGATTCCGTTGTAGAAGTACCAAAAATTTTTTTTCATCTAAATCGATCAGCGATCGTCGCGTCGTGTCAAAGAATTGTAGGAGTAACTACAAATTTATTTCGATGCTGTCATTTCGCTGTAGAAGTATCTAAAATTTTTCGTCTAATTCGATCGTCGTGTCAAAAAATTGTACTAGAACCTAGAAATTTATTTCGATACTATGACTTCGTTGTAGAATTATTTAAAAATTATTTTCATTTAAATCGATCGTCGTATACCGGTTGCGTCTCAAAAGTGGCTCACCCCTACAACTTTTTTTATTTTGTCAGATAAAAAAAACGAGTTTTGGTATGTTAGTATATAACATAAATTAGGATTGATTGACATATTCAATTGTTTTTGGTCACTTCCTGTTTCACCGGAAATGACTACACCTTTTGATTTTTAAATGACACCCCCGGTATGTTACATTATTCGATAGAAAATCACACTCTGAATAGAATGGCATATCATAAATATGTCAATTTTTGACATTTTCACATATTATTTATTTGTAACATGCGATTCATAATGACAATTTGACTCGAGTACCAAATTGTGGTACCAAATTATTCGTAGAAAAATGCTTTTTCAAAATATGCTAACGAGCCACCTTTGTTCCGTTTGAAAAAATTGAGATATTATTAAAAATTCGATTTTGATATCTTATAACGGGCCCGGACAAGACACGAAAATCATTAGACTATCAAATCTATTTTTCCAAGGCTCCTTGATTAGAAATTAGTGTTTTTAACACATCCATGGCACTCTATAATAGATAGAAATTTAAAATACGATTTTTTAAGCGAAAATGTCTAAATTTTCTATCGTATAATGTAAAAATATACCGGGGGTGTCATTTAATAATCAAAAGTTGTAGTCATTTCCGGTGAAACTGGAAGTGACCAAAAACAATTGAATACGTCAATCAATTTCAATTTATGTCATATACTAACATACCAAATCTCGTTTTTTTATCCAAAAAAAAAATAAATAAAAAAGTTATAGCGGTGGACCACTTTTGAGACGCATCCGCCAATAGAATTACTGGAAATCTATTCAAGGTCGTTACGCCGTTACGCCGATACGCCGTTTTTATGATAGTGTGGATGCACCCTCAATAGAATGACATATCATAATATGTCAATTTTTTGACATTTTCGCATATGGTTTATTGGAAATTGTAACATGCGGTTCATAATGACAATTTCACTCGAAATACCATGTGTGGTACCAAATTATTCGTAAAAAATGCTTTTTCCAAATATGCTAACGAGCCTCCCTTGTTCCGTTTGGAAAAATTGAGATATGATTAAAAATACGATTTGGGCATCTTAGAAGAATGGGCCCGGACAAGACACGAAAATCATTAGATTATGAAATCTATTTTTCCAAGGCTCCTTGATTAAAAATTAGTGTTTTTAACACAGCCATGGCACTCTAGAGTGAAATTTAAAATACAATTTTTTTAAAGCGAGAATGTCAGAAGTTGACATATGATATGTCATTCGATTCAGAGTGTCATTTTCTATCAAATAATGCAAAAATATACCGGTGTGTCATTTAAAAATCAAAAGTTGTAGTCATTTCCGGTGATACAGGAAGTGACCAAAAACAATTGAATACGTCCAATAATTCCTAATTTATGTCATATACTTACATACCAAATCTGGTATTTTTATCTAAAAAAATTAAAAAGTTTTAGCGGTGAACCACTTTTGAGACGCATCCGGTATAAAATGACAGCAATCTTCATTTCATGCCACCGTTGACGCCGTTTTTTTTTCGATTATATGGTAGTTAATCAGTACAATAATTAATTTTATTACATTACTACGTTCAGTAAGATCTAAAATAGTGATTTTAGTGTAACAAAAATGTTGATTGCTACAGTAATACGTTGTATATTCAGTTTACGGTTGGATGCTATCTACCAACACCATATAAATATAACAAACACGTTCTATGGTTGCAGGTTACATCTCTATAATATGTTCTATCTTCTATCTATGTTTACTTACTATGTATTCGAAAACTTAATTTGAGTAATATATGGTAGTATAATATTATTAATATTAATATTCATTAATCGAATATGAATGAGAATAGTGCTTTCTTTTAATCACAATTCTAATAAATTGAACTTGAAAGTATGTTTCCCAGAAAAGTAGGTGGTTCCCAGACTATACAAATAGGGAATTCCCAGAAGTTCATGCTTTTAAACCTACACTTTTTTTACTACTTTACTGCTATACGAATTTTATTTAAATGATTACATTACACTTTTAAACATTTTGTTTACAGTTTCATCCAAACTCAACTCGCCAGATTAGACTTTAAATTATTTATATTTTGTGACGGGGATTCGTTACAATTATTTTGTTGGGTGTCGAACCATAAACTTTATGATAAAACTCGAAGAATTTCAACAAAACACTTTTATTAAACTTTACGTTTCCGTGATAAACCAAATCATGTTTTTTCTACCTACTGTCCCTCGATCTTTTTTATAATGGACTCGTCCAAGCGGTCCGAGAGGGGCCCTATAATAATAATAGTTCTCTGTTACAATTTTTAAATATAACTTGTAGAAACAATCTTAAAGAATACTTACTACCTATTTTGATTTTTTTCGTCTGAATCTCTTAATATTCTAAATGAATACACTTTACTTATTAGATAAATATACACAT